TCACCATGATGTGCCTCGCTTCGTTCGGGATATACCTAGTACACCCAGTGACATTGAGAGCTGATTGTTAGCAAAGTCAATACAATATTATTTGGTTTTATGTGAAAGTATTTAGAAAATTCCCATAGAAACTGAAGTTGTCATATAGGCAAAATATTGCCTACTCATTGCACTTTGCTAATAATCTTATGACCCACGCACACAGTTAAACGCCTCCAGGATTACGGATAGAAATCGAATGCATGGCGCATTGAGCCTATTTTTTGATTGGTTTCGAGGTCATGAACCCTTGAATGATTTCGTGCCAGCAGGACTTGCACAATTCCAATCAAAACACCATTTTCGACGTTTCGACGCCAAATAATGTGGTCGATGCACTTGAATGATTAGAACGTTGCGGGCAATAAGTGGTTCCTCCGATATGGCAAGTAAAAGAAATGGAATGAGAATGAAAGGAAATAAAATGAAGCTGTTCGGGGGTGTAGACGTGCTAGAGCGCTAGCGCTAGCCGAAAAATGCCAAGTGTGCCCGTGATGTGCGTGCCAGATGTGATTTGCCTTATCACTCGTTAGATGTTCTCCAAATGTGGCTAGTCGCGTAGATTGATTATAGCGGCAGCGGCAATGGCGGCGGCGGCGGCGAGACGAGCGCCACCACCACTTTCGCCGCGTGAAAGTGATGGAGACGAGAAGTGGTCGAATTGTATTAGCAATGAAAACGAAGAACACAAGAAGACATCATCGACACTCGGCGGCGACGCGTTGACGGCAAAATGAGCGCGCGCGCGACTCGCGGTCGGTTGGCGACATCAAATCGACCACAACCGGTCTTGTCGACCTGCCACACTGAGGGCATGTCTATGTCACATCATCGTCGTTGTTGTAGTAAGGCGCTGCATGGTGCCAGCCAATTCAAGCTACCTTTTCAGGCGGTCAAGGACATTGCAGCTTTTGAAAGTTCCGGTTGGAAAGGCTTGAAAATGCTCCGAAAGATCTAGCTCATACGAGGCGCTCTTGACTGCATGTCCTATCGTAGTCGTGAGTCGACTCAAAAATGGAGTCTGCTCCGGCAGAAAGCTTCAGGAAAATCTGAGAGATAGTGTTTTCACCGCTGATCAATCCTTTTCGGGATGTGGCACGAACTCCACTTCCACTCAGAATTTTGCTGACTTTTCCAATGCACAATGGCAAACGGGTTCCAGCGGACGGACTCTGACAATCAGTGTTTCAGTGTTTTATCCTCTCATCAAAGCATGGTAGCAGTTTACCACCAGCCTTGCCCCCCCCTACCGCCAGAGCTGGTGGTAAACTGGGTGGGAGGATCGAAGGCTTGGCTGACCCGTGTGGAAGGCAAAAAAGGAAGACAGGAAGACTTGGCTGTTCCGGGTGGGAGCCAAGGGTGGAAGGCTTGGCTGGCCTGAATGGGAGCCAGTCCTGGATTTTACCCCAAGTCTTCTCTTTTACAGCTAGCAGCAATAGGGGGTACAACAATACACAACAGGCCACTTACCATGACACCTCCACCTCCGAATGCTTATAGTTCTCAGAATCCTGGCGAATCATCTGACGGAGAATAGATCTTCACATCCCATCCAAGCAGAGCAGCGGATAACAATAGATAACAGTTCTCATGCTTCGTGTTACCATGTTACCTGTAAGTTTCTACTCGTTCAATCTAAACTGATCAAGAGATCGGTTTGAACCCGCTTGTCTTTGACCGGTCCTATAGAAGAAATCATTCCAAAGGATTGACTCTTGCCGGAGATTGCATTCCTTGGCCCAAAGAATTTTCCTATCACCCTCAGGCCAGTTCTCCATGAAGTAAAGTTATAGCTTCTTCGTGAAGCACGGTTTACTCATAATCGTCCTTCTACTCAAGCCTCGGGCTACTCAGTATTTTGCACATTAACAGTGAAGAAGAGAACGGACAAATCCGTCGAGGTTGTCCGCCTTGAGGGCGCCCCTAGCAATGAGCAAAAGATGCGAGAACCAGTAGCAACATAACCCAACTAAAAGAACTACCAGAAAAAGGCTATTGCTCGGTTCGCGTATCATATCAGCACGATCACATGCCATTTAATTGCTATCAGTAGCGAAGCTGACAGTAAAAATGCAGCTGAATGAACCCGAAGGATGCTGCTTTTCGAATGATAACGGCTTGCCTCTAGAAGGTTTATCTTAAAGAATACCACCGAACATATATGATAAGGTAATGTTAGTAGTAAAGTTTTTCTGATGGAGAGGTATGCAGCAAGAAATTCTGTGCCACCTTTTTGTCATTGGCAACCTCCAGCCCCTTCGACTTTCTAACATAATCGCCAATCACAAGTGATTATCATCACGGGGTAACCAGCTTCATCAAGGCTGCCGCCGCGCGCCACTGATCAGCCCGACGGAAGTGCCTTACTTGAAAGCGCTTTCAGCGGCAACCAAAAACGAGCTGTTTAATATTCAGTCGTTAGTCACACAGAGGAGAAACGAGTCTGCTATGTGAACAACCCCGTCAATTTGCATTATTGCGCCGTGATTGGGTTCGTATAGCGCAGCGTCGCTCAGGTCACCTCAGAACAGCTTCACTCACACATACCTCATTTCTCGGGGATGGGGAGGGCGTGGCTACTACATTTGGTTTCAACATGGCACAGGATAAGTTTTTGTGGCATCTTTCTATTTGAGACAATTCTCACCATGTCTTGTGCTGGTTGCAGCTGTCACAGATAGGCAGTATCCCACCAGAAATGCAGCCACGCCCACTCCAGCCTCGGGATGTGGTGTGTACGACCACAAAACGTGAAACATTACCTTGAAAACATGTCGCAGTGGGAAGAAGCGCAACGAGCGGTCCTTAGATTGAATCCCATAAACGTCCAAGAACCCCATCAGTCCCTAGGTACCATTCGTTAAAGGCAGATCCAACTAATATTTCAAACAATGGGACGCTAAATATCAAGAGCGGTCGGCCCATAGGGTCATCCTGCAAGGCCAAAGTGCAAACGTCGGTGAGGTTCCGCATGACAGTTGATCTCAAAGCGCTGATACAGCGACAAATAACTTATCATATATCCTTTAAAAAGACAACCTGGTCCTCATTGGCCCTTGAAGATGCCCCACACACCAACTTCTCGGAAGCCTGAGCCGACACTCGGGTGTTCATACTTTGCGACTCAGACATGCGATCCGGCAGTCGTGCCAACGCGACCCACTGCTAATGGTTGGACCACCGCACCTGCTAAATCAAACATGTTTAGATTAGCAGTTCAACGATTGCGATGGAGCGCAGTCGGTCGCAGCTATGCGATTCTTGGCTGGCTCGCTCTAGTCGGAAAGTATTGAACGCCTTACGCTCGAGACCTACCAATGAAATAGACCGACCGTGTTCAGAACAGCGGATTGTTCTAGGAAAATGTCCAAGAATACGCAGGTCATTCCCGAAAACTCAACTGGCAACTAGTTTACGAATTAAAATTTATTAAATAAAATAGTGGCAGATCATGACAACGTAACGACATTCATAAACAACACCTGGACAGCTAACAATCACAACAAAACAACAACAAGGTCACGTTTCTTCTTGATCGGGTCGCTTCAAATCACCGAACACGGCAGCTGGTACTGACTGGGTTTCAATGGCTGAAAAAAGTTTATTTGGTGTAGAATACTTCAGAAACGAAAGACATACGTTAAGCGGGAGCGGGGGTGCTTTCGATGCGCGCGAGTCGTGCTTTCCCCTGCACAGCAGACGTGCCATTTTCGCAGGTATGCTGAGCATGGCGCGTCTGCAGTGCGTGCGGACAGGACACCTTGTCCGAATAAAGCTTCCGGTAATCAAATGGAAGCGGAACGTGCCAGTAAGGCCGAACCTTAAAAGATAGAATGGAGATCGGATTCACACTTCGCAATTCGAGCGACTCGGGAATCGCGCAACTGCGACCGATCTCACTGCGCCGCTAGTCGCTGGACTAATGCAAGTACTATTTCAATCATATTAAACATAGAATTCCTTTCAACCACTTTAGTTGGTCCAACAGTTAGCGATGGGGCGAAGTCCCTCAACTTTCTCGCCTTACAAATTGTGAAGGTCGAGTAACCACGGATGCGCGTGACTAAATCGCTGGCGCAGCGAAGTATAAAAGCGACTCAACTCCACAGACTAGTGGACGAAATACCAAAATTCTTTAAGCTTTTTTTACAAAGTGCATTTTCACAGAGAACTTAGCAACGCAATTGTCGTCAGTTTCTAAGGTTTTGGAAGGAGCCGCATCGCGAGTGCGCGCGGCAGAAGGGTGCAGAACTAAAAAAAACTAGAATAGGCTGTCGATAACAGCTCCACAGAAGGGGACCTATTTGGTTCCGGATGTAAAAAAAAACTTCAATGGGGTACTTCAAAACTTACGAGCAACATCATCGTCTTCATCGTCATCATCAATATTGATCTCGTCCGGATTCTCCGTGGTATCCATTTGAGTGGTTTTGCTTGCACCTCGGACGAAGGCAATATTACCAGATGGCTTGTCTGACTGAAATTAGTAAGTAACGGTGAGCTAATTAGTGGACGCTGTTTGGTGTTGGAGGGGCATTTTGTATGTTCCCCCGTTCTTTCAGTTAGTTCCTTGACTGACAGGTCTCGCTTTGGTGAAACTTGTGAAGTTGCGAAATGGCACAAGTGAGCCACTTTGGTTATAAAAATTCACAGGTCTCCACAAAGTAGTCTGTAGAGGTTTAGCTGAGTACCATTTGATGCCCCCTCCATCAAGCCAAACGGCGTCAAGACTATTTCTTGGAAAGGAGAACGCACCTGTTTATCCAGTAGCTGCATGGCGTTCGCTGACTTGATTTCTTCGGCAGACTGGAAAGGGAAGTTATTTCGAAGGATAGCGCGGATGAAATACTCCCTTGAACTGACCTTTGCTGCTCCAGCTGCTATCAACTGTGCTGACATGTGCTTCACGCTTGTGTTGTACGTTTGCTGTACTGATCGCTTGATTCGCAACATTTCACGCAGCGTATCTTCATTGCCATGCTTCACCTCGAATTCCATCCATGTGTCCCAGAATTGGCCATGGATCTATAAATTCAAGGAATGAAACGCGAAATAACACCAATTAAGCGGAGTTCTGTAAGTTCACGCAAATGCAGACTTGAGAGAACATTCGATGCTAATTGGTAGGTGAAAATAAGCGGGGATGACTGATGATTACT